GTAAATTGGTGTAGCTCCATTAAATTGAAAAGGCCTCCACCAGAGTGCCGTAACTGACTTTAGTGAAACTCCACAGAATTTACTCACATGAGACTCTCCTCCTTTTATGCATACATTACAGAATTTTGAGTGATTTTCTTGTTTTTGTTTAAAGTCAAATGACACTTTCCCTTTGTACACTTGAGTCCACTTGAGGCATCCCCACAGAAAGACATGCATAAGCAAATATCACAACACACAAATCGTGTTTTTCAGACAAATCCTGACATTGAAACCAATCCCGAGTCATCAAAATAGGAAGCTGAGCTTCAGCAATGTGTCACGGAGCAGGAGGAAACCACCCTCAGAAGACTTCTTCAAGGGAGGGGTTCCAGTATGAGGCAGAGCCATATCAGGAGCATGTAGCTGCTGGTAATTTCAAGTTTGTTCAAGCTGCACCACAGAGGGAGGCTGAAGGATTATCTGAGGAGCAAACCCTCTGTGATTACGCCTCTTCCGAGGAGAGCATTGAATGGGGTCCTTTGGCTCCAGCTGCACTGATTTAAACATGTATTGATCAAATATGATTGTACTGAGTTCTGTAGTATTTTGATTGCCAGGGTACCAGAATCAAGTAGGACCTTTTGCTTTCAGAGGCAGTGGGAGAAAACGAAACACTGCAGAGGAGCATTGTATATACAGTCCAAAAATCCCCAAGCAAAAAAGGTTCTTTTGAAAGTCACAAGCATAAGCCTAGCTGCCCAAGTGATGATCACATCTGGGCACATCTGCTTCCTAATACACAAGTGGTGGCTAGTCACAAAAGCGTCTCATGCTGCAGGAGAGTTAAACAATACTGAATAGAAAACAAAGCCATTTCCAGGGAGGAGGGAGCCAGAGATGGCTTTTGGAAGTAACAGATCATGTTTGCTGCCAGTGCTGCCTTTACTTGCAGTTCAGAGATCCTGAGGCTATACCAGGTGTGCAGGAGGAGAGCAGGTGAATAGCAGGTAGGGCCAGGGAGTGCTCCTGTTCTCCTCACGTGTGGGGTTTGGGAGGGCAGATGTGTGCCCAGTGAAGGCCACAGTGCAAAAAACAGCACTTGGAAGACCCTCTGAGCAGGGCGCAAAATGAACAGGAGGGTTGTTTAGGTCCCATCATTGGCACTTCCTTGTTTCTAGAGGAACAAGTCTGTTTGGCTGTTGTTTGATGGGCAGTTTGCTTGCAGTTTGCAGGGTGTGTGGTTTGCTGACACTGTAAAGGCTCTGGATGTGTGATGGAACATGTGGTTGGGGAGATGACAGTGGCTTCCTGCCTCTCGTGGCTAGTGATGGATAAATAACTGCTCAGCTTCAAGGAGGGGGAAGAAAAAATGTTTAAAACATAAGTAGTCAGCCTTCAGAAGCTTTCTGAGAGCAAATGAATCAGCAGTTCTGGAAAACAAGCAGCTTTATTGGGTATTTGTAGAGGAACTTACTGCAGAAGGTCAGCAATGCTTATAGGAGCACATCCAAGCACTGGCACTTAGCTGAGTGACATCAGGCAGCAATTCAGTCATCACTCTCCACATGGTCTCTGCTATTTGTATTGGCTGGCTCCCAGACAGACAGAAAAATGCAAACCCATAGGTGCAGCAACAGGGTATTTGGAAATCCCCAGTGTGATGCAGCTTGAAGATATCCTTGCTGTCAGGGGAGATGCTTCCTATATAGAGGGGATATATTGAGGCAATTAGGTGAAACTGATGTACTTGCTCAGTCTTCTTCAAGAACCTGATTTAAAATTGGAATATACAGATTATAGAATCATAGAATCACAGAATCATAGAATGGTTTAGAAAGGACCTTAAAGACTATCTAGTTCCAACCTCCTGCCATGGGTGGGGACACCTTCCAATAGAGCAGGTCGCCCACCCTGATTTGAACCACTCCCAGGGATGGGCCAGCCACAGCTTCTCTGGGCAACCTGTGCCAGGGCCTCAGCACCCTCATCATAAAGAATTTCTTTCTACTATCTAATCTAAATCTCGCCCCTGTCAGTTTAAAGCCATTCCCACTTGTCCTGTCTCTAGAGGCCCTTGTAAAAAATCCCTCTCCAGCTTTCCTGTTGGCCCTTTAGGCACTGGAAGCTGCTCTAAGGTGTTCCTGGAACCTTCTCTTCTCCAGACTGAACAAGCCCAGCTCTCTCAGCCTGTCTCCAGAGCAGAGCTGCTTCAGCCCTCTGAGCATCTTTGTGGCCCCCTCTGGACTTGCTCCAACAGGTCCATGTCCTTCTCATCTAAGTGAATGTGTGCGTTCATATCTGAACTGCTGGCAGACCTTGATGCAATACAGCATTGGTGTGGTTTATCTTATGAGAGTTTGCTCAAGTGTCCAGAGTAAATCTAACCTTCATTTGCTTCTCTTCAGGAACTCCAGAGCTAGTGCCTATGAGAACGAATTTTGGCTCAGAAGCAATTTCCTTAAGACTGTTCCCAGATTAGCAAGGGTGCAGGGCATCAGACAGTCACTATCCAGGCAGAAAGGTCACAGGACGCTCTTAAGCTGACAAAGAACATTGCTAGAACTTGGCCAGCATTCCCTTGGAATCTAAACCAAATTCCAGTACAGTTTTCAGGGCATCAGATGAGACTCAGGAGATACTGCTCTGCTGATGGTCTGATCTCCACTGGGTGCAAAATAATCCATCACTGCTGACTAATGGTGGGGGAGATGAATCCTACCACCCTTCTGAAGTAAATTTCCTTTGGAAAATGTCAGTGCCTGCAAGGTGGAAACACTTCGTATAAGTGAATAATCATTAAACCAGACCTGACCCTCATACACAGGGAAGAGCACCAGTCTCAGATAGGAGAGGACAGTGGAGGGTACGCTGTGACAATCCAGACTCAGTCATCATGACCAAAGGCTGTGAACGCCAGGCTGTGAACTCTCTAGCAGGAGGATTTCTCTCTTGCTTTTCATGAGAAAAAAAGTGCAAAGTTTTTGTTTTCATTACAGCAGAGAATGGAGAAACTTTTGAAATGGCAAGAACTGCAAGACGGGAAAGCTGCTTCCCGTGAATGCTTAACCAGGAATGTGTGCTGCCTAGTACAATGCAAAGGGCAGTCTACATTTCTGGCATACAGAATGGCCCAGCTTTTCTGCAGGTTATGTAGGGCATTTGGCAATTTCTCAAGTCCCCTTCAGCATTAAGAAAAGCAGCTGAGGGCTCTTTGTGCTTTCCCTGAACAGTGCTTTGTACCAAGAGTGATTCACTGCGGGAAATTCAACGGTGTCAAATGGGTGCCAGTGGTCTCCAGAGCACTTGCAGCTGCTGGGTGAAATTGTAGTTAGGATTTTCTATGACTGGCTGGGAGACTGCATTTAGTCTCCAGTTATAAACAGGTTCAGCTTAATTTCTAGATATTAAATTGAATATGATCACATTTATAAGGCTCTAGTTTCCACATCTAAATATTCATTTTGATACCAGGGGCAGTGTTACTTTGCCTTATGACAAAGGTGGGAAGTTGTTTCTGTCCAACCACTGAGGGTGTGCACCATGCCTCCTACTTCTCCATAAGCCTTTCCACCCTCTCCTCTCACCTCCCAGCCCAGCTTCAGATCACCTCTGACCCAGGCCCTCTACTCTATCACGCTCCAGCTCAGTAACCCCAGGATCCCCTGCCATGCATGTCTGCAGCTCTCTGCCCTTCCACTTTCCCCTTCTTCCCATGAGATGGCTGCATAACCATAGTCCTCTACAAACTCAAATGCATGCCTACAGAATGACTTACTTATAGACACCCTCTTCAGTTTCTTGTGTAATTTTTAGGTTAAGGGGACTAAACCCCAAACGTTTTAAGACTGCTCTGATTTTGCTTCCATTTTTTGTTCCTTTCTCATGTCCACTGCTACTTACCTGCTAATCATGGTCTTTATGCTGTGTTTTGACTCTCTGCTCACCTGTGAAAACAACCTTTACATGATTTATGTTAAGACATGCTTCTCTTTTGCTGGTAGTGGAAGCAGCGTGTGAGGCACCTCCACAGCACTTTTTCTTGTCTTCCTACTCAGGCTCTCCCTGTTGTGCTGTGGTTGCTTGTGTCTGCGGCACAAACCTGTTCTTACTTAATTGCTGAACATAGAGGTGGACATCTTCACCTTCATCACTTCTAATTTCAGATGTGAAATGAGGAAATGGGATTCAGCTGACTAAATGTAAGGCATTGAGACACTCCATGGAACATGGGACATTCGCATGGGGATAACAGGTATGATTCAGGACCTGTGGAAGATCTAGAGCTATGTGGAACCTTTGCTCAGTTAGCCCATAGGCCCTCGCTAACCCATTTCCTGAGAAATAAGACAGCAAGATGCAGGACAAAAGTTTGTCATCTCTGAAACCCACCAGAAAAGAAAGAAGAATCAGGCTGGAAGGACAAGGATTTACTGATATTTGTAACCACCTGTGGAGGCAAAGAGTGGCATGTTGTGCACCATGGCATCAGTCCTGGGATGGGATCAGCTGTGGGAAAACACTGTCAGGGCACTCATAATCATCTCTTTTTTTATCTCTAATCTTTACTACGTGATGTTAATTATTAAGTCAAAACAGCACTGGGCCAAATTCTAATGTCATTGGAGTGCCATAAACCTAGAATAATTCTGCTTAAGCATTTGGCTTTCCTCCTGTGTAGTTAAGATCATAATGCTGATAAATAACAAGCATGGTGGAAGGAGTCAGCAACTTTGGACCAGATTAAGATCGTATGCAAAGTCTGGGTAAGCCTTTCACCAAGTGCACTGAAGACATGAAGTTATCACATTCCTCTCTGCAATATTCCTCCAAAGTGGACTTCGGTAATCGATAACAACAATGCCATCGCGTGCTGTTTACAAAGAAAATCTTGGTGTTATAATAATGTTGTAAAGGTGGAAAGTTTAAAGCTGGTTGGCTGTTGTTCTGTGGAAAGCTCAGCAGCATGCTTTATATATAGCAAGAGATGAGAGGGACCAGTTTCTTTTTGCACTGCAAAAATGGGCTCCAACATCTTCCCACTCTGCCTAGTGCTTCTATTGTGCTTTGTTTATGTTACTCCAGTGTCTGTAAGTAGAAACCTGATTTCTACAGGCTCCTTTCAGTCCACAGACATCTCAGGCCTTATAATGGTTTTATTTTATTCTCTTTCAGGTCAGGCAGCTCTCCAGTGAAGCTGGTAAGTGCTCTGTGAGCTGTTTTGAGTTTTGAAGCATTTTCATCAGCTTGCTGTCTGCCACCACATCTGAACCTATACTGTTTTGTCTGTCTTGCAGCAGCAGATATTGATGCTGATGAGACAACCAAAGACATTCCAGACATAAACTTAGGTGAGTTCACGTCTAAATTCTTGTAAGGCCTGAAGAACTGTGAGTAAAATGCTGAATTTTTCAGTGTGGTAAAAAAGACATGGGTGACATGGTCAGGTGGTTCATGGTAACAAGAGAAATGCAATTAAGTGAGCTCTGAATTACCTTCCTCTGGGTATAACATATGAATCTATCCTAGGACTGTAACCCTATGTAAACATGGGATGCAGATGTCTTTCATTTCTGAAGTTTGGACAGACTCCACCATGTAAGGCAGTATCATGCTGTATCAACTGAAAAGACTCTGGAGTCCCACTAGCATTTTCCCCCCATTTCTATGTTGGTTTTGTTGTTGGTTTTTTTTTTTTTATATAATTATATACAAATTTTACGAAGTGGAAAAGAGCTTATATGTTTATTGAGTAAGTGGTGAGGAAATCAAATGGAAAAGACACAACACACTTGTCATGGTTTAAGAGGACAACACTGTCCTGTCTTCCTCTATTTTTTATTTCTTGTAATGCAAATTTCCATATATCCTTTGTTGATTTTGCACTGTATAATATTCTTGCTGATGCATTACTCAATATTACTATATTCTCTAGAGCACTGTCTCATGGTGTGATTGCTGCCACTGCCTGAGAGCAAGCAAAAGATTATCAAACTAGGCATGGGTAATGGTTCCCACCAGATTTCTACCACCAAAAATTCAGCCATTGCTGAGTAATAAATATTGAGTAGAAACTACTGTTACTTTTAGTCCTGCCCCTGTATTTCAGTGTGAAAAGGCTGGTCCTTCTTTATTTTCTGTCAATGCCCAAGGACATTTATCTTGTATAAGTAAGTTTGATATGAGTTATGAGGTGAAATACAGTTGATATTTGATATTTCATTTACACTATCTTTCATTAAATTACTTTTCAGCTGCTGGACTGGACCTCTTTCAGGGTGATATCTTGCTCCCCGTAAGTAATTAAAAACTTTATATCTATCACTTATCCTAATAGTATTTTTTTATATAAATCAGCCTATATCCCCACTATAGATGCATCACCAGTTGTTAATTCCCTTTTCAGGTAAAACCGATAAATGCCCTAAGAAATGAGAGCTACAGATGGAAGTTCCCCATTCCCTATATTCTGGCTGATAATCTAGGTAATGCAAATACTTTATTCAGATTTTAGCTCTCATCCTTATTTGCACTGGAGTCACTGTGATAAAAAAAAATCTGTCTTTTTTGGAACTGGTTCTCTCACATTAAAATTCACTAATAACTAGATGGTTCCTTTATATCAAAACCATGTTTTTTCTTCTACAGCTATCATAACAAAACATAATTTAATCAAATTCAATCATTTTTCCTTCCAATTTTTCTTTTCAATCATCTTTCTTTTGGTCCCACATGTGTATCTGTGTGCATATTTTACCTCTCCAGAATGAATGATCTGCAGTGTGTATTAAAGATACTTTCCTGATGCGTGTTTTCCAGGTCTGAATGCCAAAGGAGTAATTCTCCAGGCATTTGAAATGTTTCGTCTTAAGTCTTGCATTGATTTTAAGCCTTATGAAGGAGAGAACACCTTCATATTCTTCACAAAAGAGAGCGGGTAAGGGTTATACCAATTTCTGTTTAGTTTTGCTGTGTAGAATCAACTGGGAATTAATTCTATTTGACTTCAGCACTCTAAAAGTTTAGTCTAAGTTTGTTGTCATCAGATAAAAAGAGGTCACCAAGAAAGCACCCATTTTACCTTCTTAGATACAAAGCTTGCAGGCAGCTGCCTCCCTCTGGTGACTGCAGAGGATATTTAGATTATGAAATTGGAATGGGTATATGATGTTTGGATGGTTATTCTTTGATGAGCTGATTCCCAATATCGCAAGTTTTTCATTAACTGCTTCCACTTTCCTGCCTAGGGTTGTTTTCCATTTCAGAGGTGGGTGAGACGACCCTCATGTACATTCTCTTAACTTATCAAAGATGTGAATAATCAAAATTTAGGTTTTAAAATCTTTGGAAGACAGTTAAAAACAAAAGCTGTGGAAAGCCAGTTAATTGTATTATTGCTCTTGGTTTATACTCAGAGATTCATGTTTTCATGAACTGGAAAGATTTTATTTCCTCCATCTGGAAGTGTTTTGAAAGAATATCCAGAAAAGCACAAAAATTTTCTCACTACATCTGCTGTGAATATTTCTTGTTCTCCCAGAACTTCCTAATGGCCTATAAGCACTCCTATTTCTGCCCTCAGCTCACTCTTGGGTAATATGTCCTATGACACTTCTCTTACGAGACTATAAGCACCATGATTTTTTACAAGTTGGTGCTGAAGAGCCTGGTACTAGAAACTCCCTGGTAGCCACTATTCAAGAGATTATATGTACAAGCTCTTTGTTTTCAGTACCCGTATTAATGTGTTCAGAGTTCCTTCAGCAAACTCAACCCAACACTGTTCTGTGATGTGCAGATGAAGCTAACAGTCCAAGCAGATGCTCTTTAACACTTGCTTCTCATATCACCCTTGGGCTACCCTAAAAAGTTCCCAGTGAATTGGCTGAGGAGCTCCTTTCCTCCTCGGTCATGATTAGCTTCTGCTGAGTCACAGATATGGGGCTGAGACCTCGCAGAAGTGTGTAATTTCACACCTATGGCCAATAGTTGCTGTTAAAAAGGACCAAAGGCTGCTATTCTCATTCATAGAATCATAGAATGGTTTGGGTTGAAAGGGACCTTAAAGCTCATCTATGGCGAGGGACACCTTCCACTAGAGCAGGTTGCTCCAAGCCCCTGTGTCCAACCTGGCCTTGAACACTGCCAGGGATGGGGCAGCCACAGCTTCTCTGGGCATCCTGTGCCAGCACCTCAGCACCCTCACAGGGAACAACTTCTTCCTAAGTTCTAATCTAAATCCTCCTAGATCTCTTCTGTCGACCAAGATATTGTGAAAAAGCTCAGTCTTTTTGGCAAGTTTACTGTTTCTTGACATATTTCTTGGAAAAATGGCAGCTTATGTAAGACTAAAATTCTGGAGATCTCAAAAATCAGGGCTGTGCTTGTCTAACATAGAGGGTAAGTAAGATGCTTAAGTAAGCCTCGAGCAAGTGATAGTGAGTATGTTTTGGGGGTTTAGTCTGCTTTCAGAGTAGAGTATATGTAAAGTATCAAAGTCAGCATCTAAATCATAATTTGTGTAACTTCTTTTATATTTAAACCTTTTGGATATTACTTTAAATCCAATGAGCTGACTGAGAACTTAAATAGAGTGAAGAAAACTCCACTTAACAGACAATAAGATCTCTCTCTTTCTCAGGTGTTGGTCCCTGGTTGGGGACCAGCAGACTGGACAGAGCCTGTCTATTGGGGCAGGGTGTGACTACAGAGCAATTGTGGAACATGAGGTCCTGCATGCTCTAGGATTTTACCACGAGCAGTCGAGGGCAGACCGGGATGACTACGTGACGATCTGGTGGGATGAAATTATTGAAGGTGGGTTTTGACCTAAAAGTCGGATTTTGTCAAGTGCAGATTCATCAGTATCTTATTTTCCCACCTATATTTTAAGACTTTCTTAAAGGTGTGAAGTTGGAAACACTGGGCCACACCTGAGACCATTGTAAATCAATCTATAGGTGTAGCAGGATTTTGCTACAACTTCTCTGGTGTTTGACCAGAGACTGTGTAAGTCCAGAAGAGAGAGGCCCTGCTTGGAAGTCAGAGGACTCCCTGGCTCCAGAACTGGTCTGCTCTCTGATTTTGAACAAATCGCTTCCCCTCATGATGAGTCTGTTTTGTCTTGCTGTGTAATGTAAATTGTAAACTTACTGGGATGGTGATCTTTGAGGTGGTTCTTCTTTAATCAAAGGTCCTGCCAACATCTGAAAGGTTTTTATACTTAGAGATTCAGGCTTTCCTGAAACTGTAAAGATTAACTTTGAACATGGAGCAGCCTCGAAATTATTAGATCAGATGGGACACATAAACCAGGGCTCTGTCCTGCTCTGTGTGTCTCTGCGGGTTCTTGCTTTCAGGTTTAGTATCGTCAGATTTAGTGGCTTTATGAATTTCAATAATCTCCACAGTTCCCCTGGTCCCTACGCAGTTTGTCCTGCTGTCTCCTGTGAGATCTGGTTCTCTACAACTTACCACTTATTTGAAGAAGATTGAATAGGAGTCTATAACAAAATCTGAAAGGCATGCTGGCAAAGACACCAGCTGTAAACTCTTGTTCCCAGTGGTGGTGCTTTGCGATGCCAGTGATGGCACCGGTGCAGCAAAGGTGCCCTGTCATTGCTCACGCTCTGTGTGGACAAACTCGTCATTTCAGTCTTCAGGGTTAGGCACTCACCATCCTTGCAAATAAGTGAAAACTACATGACAAATGGTTATCAGAAAGGAACAAGATTCAGGGAATGCTGTGTTCTCTTTTGGATAGATAAGAACTGCCAGTATGAGCAGTTTCTGATGGCATCTAAGAGCAGTATCTGATATTCTGAATTGTTCCAAGTTTGGTCTTGTGCGTTATTACTTGCCTCTACCCTGTATTCTGCAATGTCTTTTGGGATGGCTAAACAGTAGATAGAACGCAGATACTGATTTTGCAGGCTTGTTCGGATCAGCACTAAAACCAGTTCAGCTTATTACTAACTTGATCTTATCTTGGGTCATGGTGATGAAGATAATGATGGTGTTCATAGTATCTAGACTCTGACTTTTGAACCCCTTTTTTGCTGTGCACTGTAACTAACTACCTCCAAAGCAAGAAGTTTTACAATGTACTTAAAATGCACTGTTGTGGGTTCCATGATATACAGAGGTATGGAAGAGCTCTACAAAACAGTGCCGGTTCTCCATGATCTCTTTTCCCTCCAAAAAAATATATCATTGAATCCTCCCAATTTATCTGTGGTGTATTCAGTAGCCACAAATCTGGAACTTTAAAAAAAATAGTACAGCTGATGGACTTTAGTGTGACTCTATTCTGAATGGAGTCCTGGAGCTATCCTGATATAAGTACAGTCAATTCTGTAGGTTTCCATCCATTACTATAAAATCTCATTTTCCAGTGAGGCAAGTTCATTAAGTAGAAAACTTCTGCTATAGCCGTTTGAAAGACACCTGTTCCTCTAAAGGGAAATAAGGCTGATAGGATTGTGCTCTCCGGTGTGTGGCTGTGTGCATCTGTTCCCACATTAGTGATCAGCACCCCCAGATTTAACAGCATGGTAGCAGTTTTTGCCATAATGTATTTTCATAAACTGCAATGCAGATAGCTGGCTGGCAAGAAGAGATCCTCTACTTATGTTGCTGTTGAGAGAAAATCTAACAATCCTGACAGACTTCAGAGAAAACCCACAGGACAGCCTAATGAAAATGCCACCTTGCTGTATAGTCTGTTTCTTTTAAAAGCACATAGAAGTTACCCTTTGCCCGGTAATGATCATTACACAAGCCTGTGCTCTGCCAAGATTTTTTCCCCAGCTATTAAAAGTGATAGCACTCGATCAGCAAGATTCTCACCCTTTTTGATAAAAGGTGTGATTTGAGTACCTGTAACAAAACAATCCCAAGTTCTTAAACAGTCTCAGACCTTGGACTGAATGGACTTGCAGAAGGGAAGGGCAGTCTTGACACAGAGAAGCTGTAATTATCCACCAGTACAGTCATGTGCTGCTTGCTCTTGGAGAAAGTCTCTCTATACTTCCATACCAGATTATGTGAAATGGCATCTTTGTCCTAACAGACACCTTCAAAATGAAAAACTTTTTCTAAGAAGAAGTTACTTCACCAAGAAACCATGAGAAATGTATTTCTAAAAGACATTTCAATAGAAATATCATAGCAATACTGACAATCTAGGGTAAAAACTTCCCACCCACCTCCATTGCTAATGTACTCTTTGCTTCAAAGAACAGAACATGGAGCCATTTCAGGAGTGTCATACTTGTTTCCTTAATGATTGAAGGGCTCCAGGGCCTTTCCTTGTCCATACGTGATCTAGTATCTTGGGAAACATTTGCATCAATATTCACAGGCTCTAGATTGGAGCACATTAATCCTTACATTTAATTCTTCAGGATGCTTACTATCAGACCATATAATCTGACCTCCTATATATCCCATTCTTTACAGAACATTGATATTTGATTTTGAACTTACTGAAGACACATGTAAGGGTGCAGAATTGCAGTCTAAAGATACTGCTTTGTTGCCCAAATAAACAAATCTTGCTAAATTTGAATGTTTCATTGTAAAGTAACTGCTTTTGGGTATATCAAGTCTGCTTCATAAAACTGTGTCCAAGGGGTCATGCTAAAGCCATTTCCTTTCCAATTTATCTAAAAATGAAGCACTTTTCTATTCTTTTACCAGGCAAAGAGCACAATTTTCTGAAGTACGATGACAGCTCCATCACTGATCTGAACACCCCCTATGACTATGAATCACTGATGCACTATCAACCATTTTCATTTAACAAAAATGAAAGCATCCCCACAATCACAGCAAAGATTCCAGAATTCGATAATATAATTGGACAACGTCTAGACATCAGTGCCATTGACCTGGAAAGACTGAATCGCATGTATAACTGCAGTAAGTCGTGATTTAACCATGGCAAACTGTTTCTTTGTTGGTACTTGGGCCTGGCTAGTTCAGCTCCCTTATGTCTTTAAATCCATGAAAGCTCTTCTTGGGTGCTCTTGAGGAGGTATGGGAGAGGACCTGTGGTGTGGAGACCCAAACTGTTTATTCCTTCCGCATCCCTCTCTTTGGCACTGCTAACTTTCATTACTTTTGTAAAAGTTCAGTTAGTCAGTGAAAGTCAATCCATTCACATCTTTTCTTCCATTTTGCTCCTAGGGGTTCAGACATGTGGTTATGTTCTGCTCATGTTTGGGCAGCTTCACTGTGTTTTTGTGACGTGAATGTAACTATACTTTGCCCTTTTGTTACTGATGTTTGGTCTTTAATGATTTTACATTTTGCACCTGAGATTGGCTAAGTCTAGAGTCCAACACTGTCTAGTTGGTTGTTAAGCTGGTTGAAGATGTTATTACTACATATGATTGTTAGTGTGAGAGGTTATTGTCCCCATGATCTGCCAACAGAAGCATCAATTTGTAGGCAAACTCAGCTGAACTGGTCCAAGGTAACCAAGTGGAATTTGCTTGAAGTGGAAGAACTGTGCTCGTACTCATCAAGCAGACAAGTGAACCATGAAGAACCATAACCTCCAGCTGAGGAATGGTTGAATACACCACCACCACTGTTCACAAAGGGACTTGTTTCTCCAAGCTAGCAGGCAGGCACAAAGACAGCCAAGATCAGTCACTGCGTTTCAGCTTTGCAATGGGAGTTTAACTCTCCATAAAGTGGTCAAGTCTTGTTACCTTTATGCAGGAAATCCCTCCAGGAATCAGATCTGTCCTCTTTTGAGTCTTTGGGCTTGCCTCTGCTGTGGGTTGTCTTCTCTACAGGATGTCTATACTGCTGTAAACTCCCCTCCCCACTAAAATTAGACCAGAAATTTTAATGAAATACTACTTTTAAAGTAACTATGTGCTTTTTTTTTCCCAGCTTCAACTCACACTTTTTTGGACCAGTGTTCCTTTGAGGTTGAAAATATCTGTGGCATGATTCAGGGCACCAAAGATGATTTAGACTGGGTACATCAACAGAGCGGTGGTGCAGGGCAGGAAGACCACACACTTTCTGGGAGCTGTAGAGGTAAAACAAACAGAATGCTTTCCTGTGGAAGAGGGGTTAGCTGGAGTAAGGGTCCCTTGTAATGTCTGTACTGGTATGCTGTGCTTTAAATACAGCATCTTTAAAATCTTTTCTGAACCTGTTATTGTAGTCAACCCCTGAGAAAACCCAGCACCAGCTATTCTGAAAACACAGGATTATAGGACTGTATTTAAGACGCTACCTAGCAAACATCTGAGTTGTAGCATTTCTAGTCAAGCAAAAAGCCCTTTTCCTTTCAACGTATCTTGGCCCTGTGAGTGTCAGTTTATGGTTGTACTTGTGCTCCTGTTAATCTTTTTCAACATAGTGGAATGTTCTCCACACAAGCAAGATAAAGCGGGACAAAGAACAATCTCAACTAGAGGCCTTTTAAATATAACCTGGAAAAGGATTTACTGCAATTTCCAAAGTCTCAGTAAGGGTTGTGTTACCGAATGAAACAGCACTCATAGCCACTCATCAATGTCCTGTTTGCTCTGTTCACAGAGTGAGTAAGTTAAGCTTGAGGAGTGCTGGTTCTGGAGGTAGAAGGAAGTTGAAAAATATTTTATGATAGCAGTTCAGGGATAATTTTCTTTTTAATCTGGCACTTCTTCTGGTTTTCTAAGGAAGAAAAAGTGGAGTCAGCCCCAGTCACAGCCGCAGGGTGCTGGCTTACAACTGAGAATAAAGATTAAATCCCAATAGGCAATTCTGAAATGCATGGGCCTGATTTGTCATTATTTAGACAGGGTAAACTACTACAGACTCCAAAAAAAGTTCTTTTTGTGGTAAATTTTGCCTGAGTACAAAATGAGGGAATCCTGGCCTAAAGCAGGTGAAGCGCTGGCACAGGGTGCCCAGAGAAGCTGTGGCTGCCCCACCCCTGGCAGTGTTCAAGGCCAGGTTGGACACAGAGGCTTGTAGCAACCTGCTCTAGCGGAAGGGGTTCCTGCCCGTGGCAGGGGGGTTGGAACTAGATGAGGTTTAAGGTCCCTTCCAGTCTAAAACATTCCATGATTCTATACTAAGTTCACGTGATAGCAAGATAAGACGTGTGCAAACAGTAAATCTCTTGTAAATCTCAGGATAAAAGTAGATCCTTGAAATTTAAAGTAAAAACACTTCAGAAAAGGTTAGTGGGAAATTAAACTAGAGGGGCAGTAACTCTTAAATATTTTTGCCAAACTGAGTTTTGAAATGTCCTTGGGCAAGCTGCAAAAAAGATCTTCATGTGCATGTTCAGAAGAGTGCTAGTTTGTGCCCAGGCCTTCTTGATTGCCTTTATCAGTGATAAGAAATTATCTTTCTCTTTACAAGATAATATAGCATATGATCTCTAAGATCTTACCTTTAGATTATCTTGAGTATAAATCAAGTAAAAAAAATAAAATACAGCTACTAATTACTTGCAGTCAGCACTGAGCATTTTGCCTTACATCTCTGACATTCCTGAGACATCCAACCAGACCAACTAATGCAACATTGACATAAGCTGCCAGCAATGAGTTCCATATATATGCTAAACTACAGGTCCTGTTCTTATCCTGGTCTGCTTTGGATGGTTATCACATCCTATTTCCTCTACTATTTGTGTTAAGTACTACATTAATGCCTACTAAAAGAGTGGAGTTGAAATGGTCAATTTGTTCCATGCAGCCAGCAGGAAATCTGGAGACAGTAACACCATGCTTCTTCACAGATGCTGGCTATTTCATGTACTTCAACACCAGCTCTGGCGAGGCAGATGAGGTGGCAATCCTAGAGTCTCGAATCCTTTATCCAAAGAGAACTCAGCAGTGCCTCCAGTTCTTCTATAAGACCACAGGAAATCTTTCAGACAAGCTGATCATCTGGCTTAAGGAGGATGATGGCACTGGAAATGTTCGCAAGTTGAGGAAAATTCAAACCTTTCAAGGTAATTGTGGAAATATGAGGAATATCTAGAATATTGGGGGGAGGGAAGAGTTGCCTTACTGAGTCCATGAATGCAGTGAATTGGCTCAGAAATCAAAAGATTTTCCTGAAGCTACCATAATATCTTGCAATTGGCGAAGGATTTGGTATTACATGAGGGCATTTAGCAATGAAACTGTGGGTTGTAATAATGTAATTTAGATGCTTGCAGACCAAATTCACAATGTTCCTAATAAAGCTGTTACAGTCAGCAATTGAGAGGGACCCCAAATGCTGCTGGACATCTATTGACTAGATCTCCACTGGCTGTATTATGATGTAACAGTGAGCTATTCAGATGTAATACCTGTGCTCATCTGCAGTCATTAAGAATCCCACCAGTTTTACATGGTTAGAAATATAAAAATGTACATAGTTCTGGAAATCTGAACTGATTTCCCACTTTGGGGGATTTTGCTAAATAGGACAAATTCAGCCATGGCACAGTGCATTCCTCTTGTCAAAACCCAAAACCTGTGGTTACCTGCCTGTATCAACCTGCAGCAATTTACAGGGAAGGATAAGTACCTGGGAAAGTGGTAACAACAGTTAATTAATTCTACCAGGTTGGACTATCATTGACTCCTATCCACTTGTTATGTCTCAGCACTTAGCCTTTTACACTAGATACTGTCATTCACAAATGTGTGAAGAGTTCCTAACACTATGTGTCCAAAGCATTTAAATGATAAGGCAATGTGTGTATATTATAATCACAATGCCAACTTAAGATCTCCAGCCTTCAGGACTCTGTGAGAGGTCCACTTGTCTAAAAATGCAGCTGGAATGGGTGGCTAGGGGTAAGCTGCTTCTCATGTCACTAATACTGCTGATGGCAATGTTTTGCTTTCCTTTTACCAAAGCTGACAATGACTATAACTGGAAAATTGCCCATGTAACCCTCAACGCTCAGAAGAAGTTCCGTTACCTCTTCCAAGGACTAAAGGGCAACCCCAGCTCTTCATCTGGTGGGATTGCTATTGACGATGTCACACTGACAGAGACTCCTTGTCCCACAGCTGTGTGGGTCATTCGGAATTTCAGCCAATTCCTCGAAAATGCATCAAGCGACGTTATCCAAAGCCCCAGGTTTTATAGCCCTGAGGGTTATGGTTTTGGCATAAGTTTGCATCCCCACTCCAGAACCAGTGGCTACAGTCGTATTGCCTTTCACTTGTGCAGTGGAGAGAATGATGGTGTTCTGGAGTGGCCAGCTCTGAACCGCCAAGCTGTACTCACAGTGCTGGACCAGGACCCTGACGTCCTGAAAAGGATGTCCTCAAGCAGAAGCTTCACCACAAGCGCAGATGATGTTAGCTCAGGTAAGTGATGTCTGCCTGGAGGAATGATGAAAATGAAAGCCAAGAAACCTGAGTCAGAGGACTGAACGTAGGACTCAAGAGTTGAGCAACTTTGACTGTATTTCTCAGTCTGGGACACTTCCTTGTGTATGTCTCAGAATTCCTGTCTGTGAAAGGCCATCTGATGTGAAAAGTGACACACAGAAGGTTGGTGTTATTATAAACTATCCCTGGGATATCTGAGTTTGAATCTAAACACAGAGTTCTCCTAAGAGAACAATTCCTATTCTACCTGTGCTTTGCCCATTATGATAGGTGACATATCACCACAGGATGCTGCAATGACAGCAGGATGCTGTATTCCATTATTAAATCAGCAGTAATTTAAGTTAAAGCTGCACTTTGGTTCTTGTGGTTCTTATTCGTCACTTATATTCTCTTTGCAGATGATAATGAAACCTCAATATGGGAGAAACCATCAATTGTTGGAAATTTTGATGTGTCATGCAATTGCTATAGAAGTGTATCCTTTGGGTGGAATAGCTTCATATCCCACAGCCAGTTAAGACGAAGAAGCTTTCTGAAAAATGATGACCTAATTATTTTTGCAGAATTTAATGGTAAAGACCCTCTTCCTGATTCTCCTTACAAAAAGTAGGTGATCCTTTCTATCTCTCTTCATACATTCAAGTAACTATTGCCACTTGTCTCTGAGTCATTTTCTCTTCTAATGGGGATCAACTTTTAAAAGCATTTCTGTGTCTTAGTTTCAGGTGGGTGTTGTTGACTAAGGTGATTATGAGTTCAGAGGAATCTAAATGGCAGTAAGTTACTGAAGGTTAACTTCTTAGACAGCTTTAAGCACCCTAACCAGTAGCTGTGTCCATTTCTAAGCATTGAATGTACTGAAGAGCCATTCCTATTGTTCATATTTTCAAACAGAGCAGCCACACTAGGCATAATTTTTCGAAATACAGAATATCACTGATTTACCTACCTATTATTTTCTACCTTGTGCTTTAAATATGAAGAACTTTCTGTGGTATGGAAAGAGCTCTGTAAAGGGAAAATGGAGAAGATGGTTAAAGACATCTAGCCTAGTTCACAAAGCACCCTGTAAGCCCCTGGTATGACGAATGCTACATACAGCATCACTCCTGTCTGATGTCTTTCTCCTCCTTTTCCTTTTTTAAAAGACCTAAGTCACCTCAATAACACTGAAGTTCCTGTTGAATCTGAACAACCTGCCTTCAAGAAAGGACTCATTCTTGAAAGGCAGAAGAGAGAAGCCCAGGACATACAGCCTGTTGAAGACCAGCTGCCTTATCTGCAAGACCCGTGTGACCCAAACCCTTGCCAGAATGATGGAGTCTGTGTGAATGTGAAAGGAAGAGCAAGCTGCAGGTACCACAGACTTCTTCCCTGCTTGCCTTGACTTCCTTCTGAACCAAATGATGCAGCTAATAAGTATTCAGAGCCACAGATTTCAGAGGTCTAAGCCACTAGATTTTCAAGGAACAGTAGGAGCAAAACACTTCACTGCAGTGACCAGTTTTAACGAGCAACCATAAGGGGAGGCAAAGAAACTCCATCCTGTGGTGCTTTCAGGATGCGCAGGTAGCCTCCAAACAAGGCGGTGATGTTGTGACGTGAACCCCTCTGATGGGAAATGCCCACCCAGGATAGTCACTGTGAGGACCTTGAGGTGGACCTACAGGGCAGGACAAAACTGATCCATGTTAATCTGTACTTGATTTTCCCAGGTGCCCATCAGGACAAGCCTTCTTCTTTACGGGTGAGAGATGTCAGTCACGGCAGGTCCATGGGAACATCGTGGGACTGACAGTTGGTGGAATTGCTGGAACCGTTGTCTTAACCATGGTCCTCATTTCCATAATGGCAAGAAGATAAAGAGCTGCAGGGGTATAAATCACAGACTGGTACTGTTCCATAGTTGATGAGACATGGGTTTTCCATGAACAATGATGAATATAGCTTGTAAAAGACTAGTTAATGTATGGATGAGATGCTCTATCAGCAGCTGAGCTGTTTACACTGTAAGACTTCACAGTTAAAGAACATCATGTAGAACTGTTGTCTAACGAAAGTTCATACACTGCCTTCCTTGTGTATTCTTTGAATGTTTCAGTTTTTCATCCAATAACAAGCAGTCCCACAATGCTGAGAGTCCATGCATTTACTCTCAACCACAGTTCAAAATTAGATTAAACTAAGTGGCAGGACCTTTCAAAACACTGGAAAAAGTCTCGCAGAAGCACAAGTTAAGATTCTACAAATGTTTCTATAGAAATTACTCAAGAAATCTAACGGGTAGAAATCCATTTTGGGAATGGATGAAAGGCGCCATGACCACAGGTGAAGTGCAGGTTTTGGGAACTCCTGAAGCTCAAATAAAAGTAATAATCATGGGTAAATTGCAAATACTGCACTCAGCCCATGAGCTACAAGCTTAGGAAAAGTAGGTGCTAATCTCTGGAGTCTTCAGTGATTCCTCTCTGCAGTGAGCCTGCATTACAATTAACTCATACACTTCCTGTGATCAGTCTCTGTAGGATGTAGCTGACAGCATTTCTTGGCTCTCAAACATCATGTCTAATAAAGGCAGCTTTGCCACAGTTATTGGAGCAGAATATTGAAAGAATGACTTTCTAAGGCTCTGAAAATCTATATATAGGGTTCTTAAATAGACTTGTACTGAAGTTGCCCAGAAGCATTGTCTAACTGTAGTTTCCAGCCTGAGACCTTGTTTGATCTGTACCTCTGAATAGCAGGCCAGTTCCAGGAAGGCTCCCTAACTCTGACCCCTCAGGAAAAGGACTATAATAAGCCTGGCTTGACATCTGAAATTACTCTGAGAAGTGGTTTCTGGAAACTCTAGATGAGATTTTTATACTTGTATGAAGGAAAAAATCTGTTTTGTGTGTAAACACAAACAGTAGCTGAAGTGTTGGTCATTTTTGATCAAGGACAAAGCATGTGTAGCTCTTCGTTTCCTGTTCAAACTTGCATTTAGGACATTCTTTTTCCTAAATGCAAAGAGCTGTTTCCAATTGTCCTTTGCTTAACCTGCACCACTTGCATGAGAACTGTGAATTCCGTTGTGGGATCACAGATCCCTTTCTCTCTAACCTCCGTCCATGGGCTTTTTCAGTGCAGAACATCAGTCTTGCTTGTGTTCCCCAGGTGTACGGGTGGTGGAGCTGCATTACAGACCTGCAGCCCTGGCATGGGTTTGGAGCTGCTGGTACCTTGCTTGCCTTACCCACCTGTTTTACTTAACAGCATTGAACTGGAACCAGCAGTGGCCCAAGGTAATGGATATTGGTGACCTGGATCATAGGGAATGCAGACACCACATCCTCCTAGCTTCTGCAAAAGATCCACGTAACCTACAGAAGATCCTTTGGAGCCACCAGGTGTCAGCATTCCTTGCAGCGCTTGGCTATAGGGGAGAGATGTGAAAGGCACAGCTCAGACTGCCAGAGCAGAGAAGCAAGTGTAGCTTTGCCAGCTCTCAGCCCCAAGCTTAGTCTGTCCCCTAGAAAGACCTGTCACAGCAGTTATTCTCAAGCAAGGTGCCTGTCCACTCTCTTTTGGGTTTTCTAATCAGCAATGGCATCATTCAAAGGTGTGAACCTGCCTCATTCACTTACTCAGCCAGGGAAAAACAGGACGTGCAGCCCAGGCTCCATGGAGCAAAAAGGGTAGAGAAGACTTACACAGTGATTTCTAGAGCATTTCAGACTTCAGCCTAAAGATTCAGGTGCTCACAAACAGCCGCTCAGATCTCTGCACCCCACCCCACTGCCAGGATCTGCTGGAGTAAGACTCTTCCTAACACTTCAGAGCATCACAGTGAGTTCCTTGTCCAAGCCTGGGACTGGAAGTAGATGTTTCTCATGGACACATATTTACTTTGTTGTTAACAAGACACTTCACCTTCCCAGCACAGCTGGATGCTGCAGACCCACAGTTAAACAGGGCTCTCCGTGCAGAGCTGGCTGGCCACCACTGCTGCAGGATAAATGATTTGGGCAATACTCACAGCAGTGTTGGACTGGGGGCAACCAGGACCCTCTCCTGACATCACTGCTTCGAGTCAGGCAGCATGTGGAAAATATCCTGCGAGCTCTCACTTGGCCCACACACTGGTTTATCTTCCATTTGCAGCTGTGGGATGGGGACTGATGCCCAGAGAAGGGAGGTAGCTGCCTGGGCCAGCCTGCGGCACAGAAGACAATGCTAACAACAAGTGAGTGTGCAATGCACACTCTCTTTCAAGGGCATGGCAGCTGGGCAGAGATACACCCAGAGCACACAACTGTCTAGCACTTTCCTGTTGGAAAGCCGGGATAAAGCACAGGATGTGGCGCGCTCAAGCTCCAGGAGCACTCAAGCTGCGAGCAGGACAGGCAGGTGAGCCAACCATGGTGGTGAGTTACCAGCCAGCCATGGTGCCAACACTGCCTTTCACACACAGCTCTTCCTTCCCGGGTGCAGCAGCTCCGTCCCCTTCCCTTGGAGCTGATTTTTGCTGCCCAGTTTAATTAACAAAAGGAAGCCCCATTCCTGCCTGACAAAAACCCCCAAACCTGATGTGCTGAGATGTGCACTGTTCATTATCTTGCAAAGGGAGGAATGATCTATGAAGAGGGTGCAGGAGGATTAGCACTACTTATCCCAAGGAAAAGATAAGAAGATCTTGGAAAGAG